TTTTATGATTTGGTGGAATTCCTTCACAGTCGTGGAAGTATCATGAAGATCGCTGTATTTCACAGAAGTAGCACGTTTGTATCAGGTTGAGCTTTGTCACGCTAAATTTACCCCGAATATCTTTGCAAAATAACAAATGGCTTAATTATCTATTGTCTTTTTCAATAAAGGATAAGTCTTCGCCTAAATGGTGCTATTTCCCTATCACCACGTGCAATCTTCGTTTACAAGCTCAGAATTTCATTGACTTATCGCCGGGTATAAGCAATCACCTTCACAAGAGCATAGTTAATAGTCATAGTTGGTTACTAACTATGACAAGAGGCAGAGGACGTCTTAAACTCAAACTCTGAGGTTAAAACCTGTTCACTGATAACGTGTTCATCGTCTTATTAAACAGTCTTTTTGGCACCACTGCAAAAGTGGCGTGGTCGGTAATGGAGTCTGCTTAAGTTAATTGACTAGTGCATGCGAAAACGAAAACCTGAATAGCTGCATGATGCCAGCTCAATGCGCATAACTTTTAACTAGATAGGAAAACTTGGAAAAGGTTCTGTCTTCATTTGGAGAGCCACTAGCGTGTTCTAATAACAAACAGTTGGAATGCAATAGCAGGGACACCTCTGCATAATTTGCATAAATTACCTGTGTTTAGTATCTTCCGGTTCGTGTCAAACACATATAATAAAGCGGTAAACTTGGTGTAAACATTCAAAGCTAATTTTACAGATTCGGTCTGCAGGGACCAGAAACAGTTCCTTGTTAACTAGTTATTCTTGTTTTATTCTTATTATTTAAGAGAGAACTGACTTTATAACATAGAGACCGTACAGTATTATCATATGGGCTTTCACACGGACAATACATAAGCGTGGTGCAATTAGCACAAAAGAAGCGAATAACAAACTAATATTGAATGAGATCTTTTGTTCCTACTCTGATTATCCATCGATGAATTGACTGGATCTTCCACGGCATATGAAAACAAGATGCCAATTCTATCACTAGGCGCTGGCATTCATGCTACACATTAACTGTAATGTGATACCGAGACCCATTCGGATGTTTTCTGCGGTAATGCAAAGGGTTTGAATGATCGAGCATAGAACGAGTACGCAGTGCAGGTGGCGCATGCCAAAGTCTAGTCTAGAATATTCAACATCTCTGTTTTCTGATCAGTCAAACGGAACCACAGGAGGACCTTTTAGCGACAAGTCAGTCTGCGGACGCTGTTTCAAGGGCGAAAATCAGTTCTCATCTCACGCAAGTTGTGAGCTGACCACTTGCGGCCTGGGTTGAAGATGAACTTGCTGCTGTTTTCAAAGCTGCTCATTTTGGGTGCAGTTTGCGCACCATTCCTAGAAGAAGCAGAAGGAAATATTGCAGGTATGAGTGGATGGAGATTAAGAAAATAATAATAACTTTGATTTTTCCAACGTTCGAAAAACTCATTCCGAGTAAAAATTGTAATTTAAGCCAGCAAAGGTCTCCGTAAAGAGAAGTTCGACCATAGTTTTCCCTTTCTCATTTACCAATGCTCGTGTTCAAACGTGCAATTGTTGTGTATGTTTACGTGCGAATATAAACACTATTAAACAAATCACTTCAACATTAACCAAGAACATTATTGTAGTAGTAAATAAAGCTGTGTCGTGACAGAACTTCTTGTTAAAGGTCGCTATTTATCTCAATAAGAAACTGGAATTGGAGATCATTAGACTGAAGACACCGAACAAACACTCCTTGAAACAGATTATTATAGCTTTGAAATTAATTTGTTATTCTGCCCACATGGTTTGCATTCTTTGTGGGTAACAATTTGCATGTTTAAAGTTAAAAGCAAACTTGTATTATCTTGAAGTTTCTGACTTCAGGCTGTGCGGACCTAGCTGTGCGGTGTTGATCGATTTGAATACACCTCGTGATGTTATAACGTGGTGTATGTTTTGCTCAAATCGTGTCAAATGTGGAAAGGGCCACTCATGATACTGTTACAGTATTTTACAAGTAAACAGACTCAAATTGATCATAAACAATTGGACTTTGACTTGAGGCATAACTTACAATGCCTTGGACTAGAGTTCTGCTCTACCTTCCTCTCAGCAGAAAAAACGTAGAAATAGTTAATTTTCTTATTAATTAGGTCGATGTTTAGGCGCCAAAAGTGCAATAACATATCCAGTCCTGTTATTTCGGTTGGTAATGACGACCTTCAGAATATGATTTGACTGATTTGTTCTCCTGAGCAAAAGTACAAATTACACGTGATAGAATATAATAAAGCAGGTCAGACTGACGATCAGACAACATGTCTCTCAATAGCTATCATTTGAATAGTCACGCAATAAGTTTCATTCATCCGCTACACACGTCACGCATGCATAGAACCACCGGGAACAATATAACTGACTTACAGTTAAAGCACTTGAGGTATGCTATGACCACTGGTTACAAGGCCTAAGGCTTCATCCTCAAATATAGAAGTTGCAATGACAGGGCATTTGCTAATCTTTTTCCAGTCTGTTCTCCCTCGAATACCAATATTGCCATTGACGCTCAGGTCCCTGGTGAAATCTCCACGCCAGTATTCCCGAATGGCTCTCCTGACGGTTCCTGCATCTGGATAATCCAGGCGCAAGAAAATTTCCAGCTCGAGATTACGATCAACTCGCTGAAACTAAACGGGGAGGATGACTATTTGATGATCCGTGACGGGGCTGACACCTCAAGTCCTGTGATTGGCAAGTATGGTTCGTGTGTGATTGGCTCTCTTCAGCTGTTCTCCAGCGGAAGCACAGTTCTCCTTCAAACGGTGATTGCTGTTTTCAGCGTGAATGACGAGCTTAAAATTGCGTATAGGCCGATTGATCCTGGTAAGAGTGCAAGGTTGCTAATTGGTGCCAGCTTAATAGCAATTTCTTACTGAGGGAAGAGTTGACCCAAAATAAAGTCTGCCTGTCTGGTTTTCTGTCCGTTTTAATGCGCCAGTCAGCTAATCACTTAGGCAGGCAGGCAGGCAGTTAATCAGTCAGTCAGACAGTCAGACAGCCAGATAGTCAGACAGTCAGACAGTCAGACAGTCAGACTGAGTCAGACAGTCAGATACTCAGACAGTCAGACCGTCATAATCTCAGACAGCAAGCGAGCCAGACAGTCAGACTATCAGTGAGCTAGCCAGCCAGTCAGACAATCAGACGGTCAGTGTGTTAGAGAGTCTGTCAGACTGTCAGTCAGCAAGCCAGCCAGTCAGACAGTCAGACTATCAGTGAGCTAGCCAGTCAGACGGTCAGACAGTCAGACAGTCATTCAATCAGTCAGACTGTCAGTCGGCAAGCCAGCCAGTCAGACAGTCAGACTATCAGTGAGCTAGTCAGACAGTCAGACTGTCAGTCAGCCAGCCAGCCAGTCAGACAGTTAAATAGTCATACTGTCAGTTAGTAAGCCAGCCCGTCAGACAGTCAGACAGTCAGGTAGACTATCAGTGAGCTAGCCAGCCAGTCTGCTAGTCAGACAGTCACACGGTCACACAGTCAGACAGTCAGTGCATTAGAGAGTCAGTCAGTGTGTCAGTCAGTCGGTGGGTCGGTCGGTTAGTTAGTCAGTTAAATTTAATATTCATCCATTTGTTTACGTATCTAATATATAGATTTAGCGAAGCTGCCATAAAAAAGTCTAATCATTTATTCGAAACAATAATTAACCTTACAAGAAATTTGCGATTTCACCAAAGTGAATGAGCTGAACAAACAAAACGAGGAAATCTCTATAAAAACTATTAACATATCTTTAAATTTCTTCTTACCAATTCCGCTTCTGTCTACTTTGCTAACTACATTGATTATTCTGTTATTTAAAGCGCAAGTAATCTTGTGTTTGCTTTCTTCTACAGGCGAAATTGAATGCACACCCCAACCAAGTAAGTTTCTACCTTGATTCATTCATAATTGCAACACTGATCTGAGTATGTCTTATGGTTCGCCAACTTTGGAGCGTTTGCATGCAAAGTGACAACCCCATTATGTATGTGGAATTAAAAAAAACACAAGAACGTGTGATCACGTGACCTGGAGCAGTTAGCCATATTAGGCTACTACACTATTATTACTAATACACTATTGATTGTTTGAGTATCCAGTTACACCAATCAAGAGCTGTAATTTGTCATCACTTCTTGTAAAATGCCTGGGTAACGTGGTCCTTCCTATTTCCTTTATAATCTTTTACTTTTTACTTCCTTGGAGGTCACAATATTCGAGGGGAAAAATGTGCCAGAAAATCTTATTTGCTAATTAAAAAATTAAGGGGAAATATCTCGATATTTTTTTTTATGGTTTGCCTCAAACACTGTTAGTACATAGTCCTTTATAAAATTCATTGAACGCTTAACTAAACACAACGGGCAATATATAAGATGTTCATGAGATAGTAGTTTCTATTTTTTTGCGATAAAATTCCAGGTATCTGTGGCGTGAACATCGAGCTAAGACGACTATCAGGAGTGCTAACAAGCCCAAACTTTCCGAACAACTACAACGCTGACGAAACGTGTTTATGGACAATCATAGCCCCTCGAGGGTACCGCGTGCAATTCGCAATCCAGTTTCTTGGTATTGAAGATCATCGATATTCCCGTCCAGGGAGCTGTGGGGATGACAGCATCACCATCAGCGAGCGTCGTGGAAACATCACGAATGATGTTAAAGTCCTGTGCGGATGCAAGGAGTTATATTCATTTGCTTCTTTCGAGAATGAGATGTTCCTGAGGTTTAGCGCCTACAGAAAAAACAACTGGCCTGGTTTCTATGCAACGTATAAAGCTCTCGGTGAGGTTCTGTTCTTTTTTTTTTTTTGAGTAGAACACGATAGAAATATTTCCTAATTGTTAGGCAAGATTATTACAAGACACTCATGTATGTAATTAACTGAACTATGGTAACCATCTTCAAAAGTCATTTGGGGAAGGGTTACACTATATGTTGTGATATGTTATTATCTGTAACGCAACAGTTAGTAAATTCATTGCCTGAGAGAAATGGTCTTAAACGTATGAAAATAACACGGTTAACCACCGCAGCTGAAACTCTTTGCGGGGAAATTGAAACATGCGATTCTTATATCTGTTCACAATCGAACTTATCTAACTAATAAAATAGAATATTTAGATAAAATATGTGATCACCAGTAGGGGGATACGAGCAAGAAACTCACATCATGTGTGACATGTTAGACTAAACGTCACAGTGAAGAAGGGTTACACGCGAAAAAACTGCTGCCCACGTACTTTTTAGCCTTGTATGATTTATCATCTCCACTTGGACAGGAGGTCCACACTGTCGACTCTTACCACGCACTTTTCCGCGTGAAAACTGTCCACGCATGATAATTGTTCAAGATGTATAGGGCCCCTTCCTCATGAAAGCAAATTTCTCGTCCTACCGCTGGCGAGAGTACCTCACTACATTTAGCTATTTAGCCTTAAGCGTACAGGAAAATGTCGTAAGTTGTTACGGGAAGTGGCATTGATTGAGGTTCATATTCGGAATTAATTCAAAGCAACTGAGGAGAGAATATGAATGCATATCCTCCTATTGTTTCTTGTTTGTAAAAACATGGCGGTTAAGTCCACCCCGTGTGCTCTACAGTGACCGTACATGTATGCCTTTATAGTCTAAAATTTATTGGGTGTGGAGTAGACTTCAAAAGTGATAAGGAAAAGTAGTTGGCGAACTCGTAAATGTGCCAATGGAAACGATAGGTCTGAAAACTGCTACAAAAAAATGTGGCACTTGATCTGAGATGTACTCATGATTCAGAGAATGAGGCTGGAAGCTCTCGCAAAAAATAATTCCAAGGTATACTCCCCCCCTCCCCTAGGTTAGTCACGAAGTCGTCTTAAAAGTAGTCTAATTTTGTCTCTTTTTCTTTACTCTCTTCTTAGCTCCTGAAGAATGCCCTGCAGTTAAAACCAATTGCCCTCAAGCGAATACTGGTCCACTTGGTTTCAATGCTCAAGGGCAAGTCTGTAAAGCTCCGAGTCCAAGTAAGTGTGTCAGCCTCTTTTACTCAACTTTTTTCGTTGTAAATCATGGAGGCAAGAGGTCAAAACTCCCCCAGGTAGTAATAAAACTTGTGCTCAGCTAAACAGTAGTTTTTAATTTTACCTTCTGACTGGCTGACTTTCTGACTGTCTGACTGTCTGACTGTCTGACTGTCTGACGGTCTGACGGTATGACGGTCTGACTGTCTGTCGGTCTGACTGTCCGACTGTCTGGCGGTATGACTGTCTGACTGTCTGTATGATTTACTGGCTGACTGACAGTCGACTGTCTGACTGGCTGGCTAGTTCACTGATAGTCTGACTGTCTGACTGGCTGGCTTGCTGATTGACAGTACAGTCTGACATACTGTCTAACACACTGATTGTCTGATAGACTGTCTGAAGAATGTTACAGCAGTAATTTTGATAGCCTTGCAATGTGTTTTCATTTTACCGCGAGTTAACATACTCATTACAGGCATTACGCGCGGTTTCCTAGGTAACGTTTTAGTTAACGTTTGGTTATTTTGGCGCAAATAAATATGACCTTTACTATCGTCGTATGTAGTATAGGATCGTGGTGTTCTGGTCTACTGGTATTAAAAGCCACCAAAACTGGAGACTTACATTGTTTCCTCGACATAACGACACAACGATAGCAGTTACTGAGAGCAGTTTAGTGGATAAAACACGCCCTTTTTCAATTACTATCCAACAATATGGTTATTATCGACCATCTAGGGGCAAATATGGATCTGTCATGCATTCTCGGCAGATAAAAGATTGATTATGTGTTTAGACATGGCTGGATAGTTCTTTAAAATATACTTTTCATTTCCATCAGAAAACAGCAACAATACAACAACAACACGAATTCCCGAAATATTTCTCCCTCATATGCCCTCATTTCGATTCATATAGGTTTCATGTGCGATACAAAATGCCAAACATAAAAAGCTTACTATGAGAAACTGCCTGATTTACCTCAAGTGATCCACGCGTTTTTTGATTTGGTTGTGTTTTGGTTTTCAGTTCCCGAGGGCTACGATGGCGGAAACATAACACTGGATTCTGAAGCAAGTAAGTTGCAGTAAATTGACTCGACTCGTTTAGTTATTTTCCATGCTTCGAGCTCCGGCCGCCCGAAGGGCCGCCAAGTGGAGCCCCATACTCACATAGGAAAGGAAAGGATACCCATGAGTTGATTTTCTCATGATTATCATGGTTATCAAGTTACAAGACTCAAATAAAAAATCTCGCTTATCCTGGGTTAGCTTAAACACGAAGGCGCGTTATAAAAGAGCATAAGCTTCTCCCCCTAATTTTGAATTCACCCACAAAATGCTTGCTTCACGCTCTGACAGTATTCTACAATACCCACTGGGATCGGACTTGACATTACAGATGTTAACCCCGCTATTTCCAACTCGCAGGGGAAACGAAAAATTGCTCGAAATAGTAGGAATTAGAAATAGTCCATAGTAAATAACTGAAGAGCAAAACCAAGGCAAATAGTTTTGAGTTCCAAATAACGGGGAATTCGAAATAAACGGTTCGAATTAGCCGGGTCCAACTGTAGAACAATTATTCGCGTAGACATCAGAACAATATCAGTTTATAATCCTCTTGAAAACATGATTCCTTGAAACAGAGACAAGTAGAGACACCGAAGGCAATTTAATTCACTTACAGCTTACATTTCGTGTATTCAAATCGCCCGCCATTTTGAATTTGACCCTCGCAGGTCAACGGTGACTGACAAATGAGCCTTCGTCTTTCCAGGGAAGACTTCCTTATATAGCGCGCCTTTGTGTCACTGGTCAGCAGAATTACCAGGACGATTTTTGAATCCGCTACTTTCTTTTTTACCCTTCTCTCTAAACGACTGTTAATCTTTATAACATAGATTCCACTTTTAGTAGGTGAATTATTGGAGCTGCGAAAATGATTATTCATTGGTTACAATTTCTATCTTCCCTTAACCGTGGTCTTTTTCGTTTGACTTACAGAAATACAAGTCGATTGCCGACCTGACTACATCGAGGTATCTTTACAGATTTCAGACTTCCCTGGCCTTGCCATCAACGACTCTGTCCTTCACCTTGAAGACAAGGCTTGTGTTGCCAGCTATAAGGACGAGAACATGATTAAGTTCACTTTTGGACTTGAAGCCTGCATGACTAAACAAGAAGACGATGGCGAGAAGATTTATTACACGAACAAGGTTTACCTTAAAGCGGGTCAGCCGGCTGATGATGAAGTAATTACTCGTGTGCACACGGAAATTATACCGTTTAAGTGTGGGTACGACAAGAAGGCTGTAATCTCCAAAGTGTCTTACAGTCCAAGGTCTACGCTTGTCATTACAGACGCAGGTAACTTGGTAAATAGAGTTTCAAATCCATGCTCTCGAGAAACATTGTCTGGATTTACCATTGAATCTTCTTTTTTTATTTCGACACTTAACGCGACTTTCGACAAAATTGCCTATCCTAGCGGTATGCAGGAGGACTGTCACATGTGAACCTGGTAAATGGTCTAGCCTAGTTCGACATGAATCTCTTCGTAGCTCAGTACCCAACGCCCGCTGGCGACCAGAATCTGGGAAGTCATGGGTTCGAATCCCGTCAAGGTGTCAGCCTGTATTAATGAAATATTCTATTTTTTAACTATCTGGAACGATGAACTAAATTTATGGAAAATGCTTGGCGAATAACCTGCAGACCTATTGTGCGCTCTAAAGCATTTTAATACGTTATCTGAAGAATACCATCTGTTCTTGGAGACCTGCAAGTAATTGTTTTAAAGTATTCTTTTTCTTCCTTTTCCAGACGGATTTGGGAACTTTACCTATTTCATGGACATGTACGAGGATGAAAACAACAATGTCACCCTTACTGAATTTCCAAAGGCGGTTGGTCTGGGTCAGAGGATGTACTTTGGTTTCCGAGTGGAGTCTGGTGACTCGGAATTGGTTGTGTTCCCGGATGTCTGCAAAGCCACAGCATCGTCGAGCTTTGATTCCACTCCTGTCCATCTTATCATTGAAGACGCGTAAGTTGAGAAACTGTGTGGCTTCCTTACTAATTGGCTATGTGTCATCAAAAACTCCTCAGTAAGTCTTTGAAAATCTTTACTGAATCTGTGGACAAAAAGCCTTTAATGAATCTCGCTAAAGCCGTGAGCATTTTCACCTCGGCATATAATGCAGTTTTGATGTTCCTTTTAGGGGAGAAGTTCACTTTTTTACATGCAAGTCCCTTTGGGCTTCTAATAACTGATAAATAGCTTAGACTGAATGAAGGAAATGACAAAACTTTTCACTGCTATTTTTTTGTCATCAGTTGCTCCCGGGATAACACGTTGGATTATCGGTACGAAAAAAATGCCACGCAGTTTTTCAATCTTGCCGCTTTTCGCTTCCAAGAAGGATACGATGATGTGTACATCCACTGCAAGTTGACGGTTTGCCGCACAGATGACGCTGGATCACGATGCGACAGGGGATGTGGCGAGAACAGAAGGAGAAGGAGATCAACCGAGGAAAATATGAGTACAGAGCTCTATGTTGGACCGTTGCAAACCAAGAAAATGACGAATGAGCCTGGTAAGTAATTTCGCCAGTTTAACTGATTTATGGTGACGTTATCAATTTTTTAATGTTTGCTTTGAAACAAGACTTAATTAAAGTTAGTAGGGAGTACAGAAAATGTAAAATGAATGAAACTTGGGAAAGGTTGATCACAAAGAGTTGTTCAAGCGAAGTTACTGTTTGCCTTGCTGAATGTTCCATTGCATCTGCCAAAATAAACATCTGTGAGAAAATTCTTTCAAAATGGGCTTAACTGTCCTAAAATATTGTTCTTGTTTGGCTCAGTTTGACTTTGAAATACTGTTACGTATAAGGGCGATTGTGTTGTGGTTATATTGGTTTTTGCGCCGTTGGGATAGATAGCATGCCAAGGTAAGCGATCGAAAAACTGAAAATGCCTTATCACCAGGAAGTGGAAGTCTGAAGTCATGAAAATGTAAAGAAACTATTTCAATGTTGAATAAAAAGACTTGTTCAACACAGGAACTTTGTTGATAAACAGTTCAGATTTTGATTACTATTTTGCACTTGAATTAAAGGCGTCATAAATTGTTGTCGATCATAATCTCAAACATGATGCCGAAAAAAGTGTTAACAGTTGGAATTTTTTTATCTACCATCTTTTATTTGAGCCGAACTCTTACTAGCTATTTATGAACTAAATCTGCTTGTGGAAAATTTACCGCCGTAGCGTTTTTATAGGGCTTAGTGACGTTTGTAACGTTTCCCTTAAGAGAAAAGGTTTGAAGTTGTTTAGAAGACAGGCTGAAGTCAATTTTACAAACTCATTAGGACGGTCAACTTAACTGTATCGACTTTAAGATGATAAATAGATAGAATGCTTGGTTTGTCATTGAAAGCAGCAGTACTTTGCTTAAGAACTTTGCTCACTTAAATTATAAACCCGAAACCTTGGGAGGGTGGGAGGGGGGTGACTCAAATTTGTCAGTGTTTGGCAGGCTTGGCCTGGCGTAATCCACCACTCTGTTAGAGAGGGACGAATGGGCTGTTATCACTTACTTTTTTTGAGTCCTTCTAAAAAAACTCTGCTTTCCTCTCCACAGCTGAAGAGCACAACTACGAGTCAGAATCGGCCTCTAACAGCAGCATGGTCATGATCGTGGCAATACTTGTCGGAGTGTTGGGGACCGTCGCCATCGGCCTCATCATTGCGGTAGTCGTCATCAGCCGACGCCGCAACATCTCTGCGAAGGGCGCCTCCCTCATTGTCGGTGAAGAAATGTAGAAAGATTGGCATTTAAGCTGTAATGTTTGAAAGAACTGAATCTTCCTCACAGAATCAAGTAGTCCGAGATCAAAATGCTTGGTCTCACAGATCGCTCTACCTTATATTTTCTAGTACAGATCGCCACTCTATCTTATATTTTTTAAGTTGGATTTTTAGTTTACTTTTAAAACTACTTTGCATTTGATTCACTAGCTATAATTTTTATTTGGGAATTTGCATTTTACGTGACCTGATTTATGTAGATTATGTGAACAAAACATGTTTAATTTAACTTTCCTTTATTACGCATCTAATCACCTTGAAAATAACTTCCGTAAAATGGCTCCTCTGTAAGTTACGATGATTTCACTTTTTTTAGACAATACAGCTTTATGAACCCGTTTCTCTCATCAGGAAACGAATTACCTTTTTGTGGAAACTTAGGTTTTGCTCAAGCTACTTTAAAACGGTCATTATGGTTCAAATCCATTAACCTTTTTTCGGGGACAGCTACTTTTTATCTTTTGCTGCAGCGTGTTCCATCGACCGCTTCTTAAAAAGTCTAAATACTTTTGCTGTGAGGAAGTTTCATTGCAGATAGTCCCCACACAATTCTTTGCTTTTTCTGAGTGTTTCGGTAAAGTTCGTGGATGTCTTGACTTGGAGAAAAAAAAGAG